CCTGTCCTGGGTCAAACCTGCTTGCCTTCTCAGGTACTTCTAACCCACACTCCATCGCCCACCCCTCCTGATTCCACCCTTCCTGACTCCAACACGTTCAATCCAGCTGATCACTCATGTCTCACACCTCCCCAACCTTATAACCCTATAAGCTCTTCTTCCATCTCTTCATGTGCTTCTCTGTCTCCGTCACCTTGTGACCCTTCCTTGTCTCCCCCCTCATCTCTGCCACCTTGCATTTCCCCACCTGCACCTGTTCTCGATACCCACCCTTCCAACATCAGCCCCGGCCACCCAGTTGCCTCTCTGAGAGGTTGCCAGGACCCAGGGCATTATTAGAGTACAATGTCCCCTTCTCTTTCTCCGGTCTTTCTCAGTTTGAAAAATGCTTAGGCTCCTTCTTCTCTGATCCTGATGTCTATATCAAAGAATTCCATTACTTGACTCTGTCCCATGATCTGACTTGACACGATATCTATATGATGCTGATTTGTACCCTCCCCCAGGACAAGAAAAGAGTTTGGGTGGTGGCCCAGACCACAGCAGATACATTTTATGCTGCTGATAACACCAAGCCAGTGGGAGCACAGGCCGTCCTGGAGGAGACCCAGATAGAGGCCACAGACACCATATGGCTCCCTGCCTCATAAAGGGTTTAAAAAGGACAGCTCACAAGTCTGTTAACTTTGATAAGACTAAAAAATAAAAAAATAAAAAATCTCTCAGCCCCTGATATTAAGAGAAAGCGAAAAAAGGTCAAGGAGGGTCGAGCAGGGCTTGCACTCAGATTTAAAAAACTGAAAAAAAAAGTAAGTGATGGATTAAAAACAGCTAGAGAAGCTCTGAAGAACATAAAACAAACTAGTGAGAAAAAACACTCCTGACTTTAAAAGCCAAGGCGAGTGCTGTGCTATCCCAAAATGAAGCCAGAGAAACTACACTGTGCTCTACCAGATGTCAAAAGATTTTACACAAAAATCAAGTTACAAATTTCAGCTAATTGATAAATGCATGTTTCAATTTGAGTTGATGTTTAATTGGTGTGCTTAAAGCACTTCTTGTGCATTGTAAATTCTTGAATTGTAATTATAGGGTTAACTTGCTCTTTTCTGTACTTTGTTGATAAAAAACTCAAGGTTACTGCTGTTGACAACCAGTCAAATTTTAACATGTAACAGTCTGAGAACAGAAAAACAAAAGGGACACTTTAAAATTTTAACAGCTAAAGACAAGTGGTTTATAGTGAGTCAGAGGAAAAAATATTAATAAAGCTATAAGTAAAGAGATATATTTTTGATATAAAAGGATTTTGTATGTTGCTCTTGTTAAAAGGACAAGACCAAAAGGCCTAGGTACATCAAAAAGGTGTGGAGAATTGATTTCTTAAGAAAATATGTATGTTTACTTGTTGGTTTGAAGTTTGTTATAAAATGTTTACAGGAATAGAATTTTCATTCCTTCTGATTCTAATTCTACAAGACATCTCTGTTAATTGACTTACAAAAAGTTTTGAATAGTCTTATTTATAATTATAAACTTAAAAATTATAAAGAGATTATAATTCCACTGGGCTAAATATATTGGAGTGCACTCTAGTTTTAGAAATTGTCTTATGTCTTTGTTTTTTGTCCACTTGTACAGCTGTTTTGTTTATAGATAAAGGTTATTAAGTTCAAGGCATGCTCCCCTTGGTGAACAGAGGAGCGGCTGCATGGAAATATTTTCCAGCCTTTGTTCACTAGGGGAACCTCAACAGTTTTCATCTTACAACAGACTGACCCGATAGTTTTCATAGCCTTATAAAAGACCTGCATCAATAAATATTACTTAAATATATTATTATACTATGTTTACATCAGTTGTCATCAAAGGGATAAATTCTAATTATGTTATTATGGTATGCTTACACTGGTCATTTTCAAAGGACTAAATATCCTGTAAAAAACAATAACAAGGTTTTATTTTTTCTGGTGTACTAAATATATTTATACTTTCTAACTGTATAGGTTTTCTACTATGTTGTTTATGATAATAACCTCTTTTTGATTCAGGTATTTGTCTTTTTCATACACTCCAGCTACTTATAATAACAGATACATTTATGGGCTAAAATGTTTTCTTTAGATAGTATCCTATCAAAAGATAATTTAGATGAAAACTTTTGGTGTTTTTTAAAAAATAAGTATGTTCAACAATGGCTATTTTATATCAAGGTGGACATTTAAATGTGTTACAAAGGTAAAGTCATCATAATTGTCATGTTAAAATATTATTTGTGGCTCTTTTTCTGTTAATATTCTACAGGAATTCAACTACTAGAACAACCATGACTGATAACAATAACAGTTCTCTATATTTTAAATTCCAAAATGCTTGCTATTCAGGTAAAATTGTAATAGTTAAGTTCATTACTCTTGTTGCAATGCTAATGCTATTGACCTTCTCTTATGGGTGTTCAACAGCTAAAGTTTGGAGACAAAAACTAAAAGGTAACTGGGCTATGAATACAGCCAATATTTTGGCCCTGGCCCCTCAAGGTCAACAAAGATCCAGGACATGAGGGAACCTTCTCTACAGGGTCTTACACCTTTGGTAAGTCACTCAACCTCCTGAACAGGGAGATTGCTGGACACCAGAGGACAATGTACTGTGTGCCAAAGGAGGGTCACCAAGAAAAAATCTCCCATGCTTTCACTGAAAACAACTTGGTCGAGCAAGGCCATGATCCATCCTGACGGCTGACACTGACAGAGGTGCAGAGAGGCTCTATGCATGGTTCTAAAGTAATGGCCTGGGGAGACTTAACTGACCTTGATAGATAACAAGAGGTTCATATTGATTGACACAGGTCTCACTTTAACTTTATCTTAAACACCCCGCAGAAAAAAATAACCAAAAGAGGTATAAAACAATGACATAATAATAAAGCTAGACTTCAGAAAAATTAAGACATAGCCCATCCATAAAAATCTTTTGGTTCACTCATGACACAGCCATTTAAGGAAAACAAAACAAAAAAACTTTGGGGACTAAATAGAAGGGGAAAATCATTAATTAGCTACCAGTGTGTATAGATTCTTTTCAGAAAAATTAAAATAAGTTCTTTACAGGTGTCCAATCCTAGAAACCACTGGTCTCCAGGTCTCTCCTTTTAGATAAGTGTTTTTCTGATTCTGTGATAACTAATTAACTATCATGTAGTGATCAAAAAATAAAACCATAAAGTAAGAGTACTGGGAAAAAATCATGTGCTTGTCAGCCACAGTCAGGATAAGTTCTATACTGAGCAGGTACAAGATCTGTTCCTTTTACAATAATATACATCCTTGTTCTCTTTTTATGATGCTTCTTCTCTCACTGTGCTCATATTTCCTGGATACCTACCCATGTCTGAAAAGATCAATTCTTTTATGTTACACTTGATCTCCTTAAGTTGGCCAGTGTCCTTGTGGAGGTTATCAGTTCTCTTTATTTTTAAATATATCTAGGAGGCCTCCAAAAACTGAGAGATACAGGAATAAAACTGTCCTTTACACAACTATTCCATGGGTTTGCTGGAACTATCAGCCTAAAATGTGTGTTTTCATGGCCTTGAATTTAAAGGACAAGTCAGGTTCATAGTAACACTGCACTCATCAGTATGTTGGCCTCCAAAAGACATTTGCTCAGTTACGTGCACCTTTTATATTCCAAAGAAAGGTTATAAAGATTATTTAAATTGTGTTTATCACTTTTCCACTCATTCTCTCAGAGCAAGGACATGACACATGGGCCCTTAGATCATGAGCTACGATCTCTTATTTCTATAACAGTGATGATCACTGTTGATGAGCCCCTAAACATCCAGCTGTCTCTGTAAAATCTATCTAAATAATGAGAGAAATTACGCGTCAAATGAGGGAAAGACTTAAGACTCAATGGGCCAGATAGATATGCCCTCAAGGTGCTAATCAATGGTGGGATACATTTGGTTCCTGGAGCTCATGGCTTCCCTGGCTATTACCGCTCTTGGGACCCCTCAGTATTATCTGTCTGATCGTCTGCTTTAGACTGTTTTTTGCTGTTTTCAAAATTTCTTGCATGAGGGCATTTACCAACCAGACAGTCACGGAGCTCATCATAGCGGGGTACCAGCCACTGTGGCAGAGGAAAAAAAGCCCCCACCTACCGCTCCCCCCGTCAGATCCAGGGTTAGCCCTAACCTTTACCCCTTTGTCAGCTTGAAGCAGCTCCAGAAGAGACCTTCGCCCAACAACCATAAAACAAGAGCCTGGAATGTTAGATTTCCCTCCGATTTAGGGTCCTGCTGTATATAACAGCTGCCTTCTTCCCAGCACGCCCCCAGTCCCCCCAAAAGAGTACCCTAACACTCGCTCTCCTCCTGGCAGCCAGTGACGCCCCAGGCTCCTCCAGTCCCCAGCCAGGACCCCACCCAACCCACCCCAGCTCCCATCAGAAGCGCTTCCTGCCCGGCCCCCTCGCTCTGTCTCTTCTTTGTTCAGAGACAGCCTGGCAGATTGTCCCTGCAAGAAAGGCTTGTTGTGGCCTGGTCTGGTCTTGGTTTTCGGCTTTTTTTACCTGACAGACACAATGTTTAAAAAATAACACAAAAATGAAGAAACACCCAAATTGGTCATCATTAGGAGAAAGCCACGGGAAGAGAGCCTATTATCCTATTATTTCATGCTCTGATTTCCCTCTGGATCTCTAGGAGTCATTACTAAATACTTTCAAAGTACTGCACGGTACTCAAGTGTGTGCCCCTGGTCGTGACCCTCCAGGAATCCCGGAATCAGAAATGCCAGGTGTGCAGTGAATCTAAGAAATGAACTCCCCTCATACCCCTCCCCTTATAGAGTGCTGGAATTCCCCACAAGACAGCCGCTTGCTCTGCTCCTGTAAACATGCTTTATCGCTCCCCGGGAACAGATGGTGCCCGGCGCCTCCCTGTAACCCGGAACCCTGTAGCCACAGAAGGCCCTAGCTTGGCAAGCTAGGTGGGATGAAAAAGAACTGGGTTGTGAAAAAATATTTCACAGCTGGCTGAAGGACATAGTGGCCTCTCCCTGAGCTTCTTTGTTCGAGTTTCCTATAAACCTGTACGGTCCGCTGCTTCGGGGCTTCACTTCTCCTAGAGAGTGGAGTCCACGCGCGTGAATAAACTCCTTTTAGTTATAACTCTGTTTTTGTCCCAGTGTTTGGTGATTTCCCGGCTGGCGTGGCACAACATGCAGAAGTCTGGACCGAAAAGGACAGCGCTGACTTCGGCAGCACTGCCAATGCCCGGGGCGCCTGGACAGCGCGCGGAGCAGCCGGGATTGGCCGCCCTAGCCCGCCGTCCAGTGACGTCACGCCGGTGCCCGGCGGCGGTTGCCGGGGCGACGCGTGTACACGGAAGCCACGCGTGGATCCGGCCCAGCCGTTGGACACGCCGAAAAGCGGGCTCAGTGGACCGCAGGCCGGCGCGGGCGCCATGAGCCAGAGGCAGGTGCTGCAAGGTAGGCCTGGCGGGAGGACGGGCGCCCGCGGGGCTGTGGCGGGCCCCACCGAGCGAGCCTCCCTCCGCAGGCCTGGAGGAGTACCGGAAAGCCAGGCTGCAGTTCGTGCAGAGGGTGGCGGAGCAGGCGACCAGGCCGCAGAACCTGGAGACGCTGCAGAGCGCGGGTGAGCGCCAGCCCCTTCCCGCCCCGCCTCGCCCCTTCCCGCCCCGCCCCGCCCTGCCCGGGCGCCGGAGCTGGGGGTCCCCTTTCCTGCAGCCCTCCGAAGGCCGAGAAGCTCAGGGTGTCGGGCTCTGCGGTCGGGCGGCGAAAGCGAAGGTTCGGATGGACTGGACGGCAGGTGGTCCGGGTTACCTTCCCGGGAGGGTCTCCGGTAACCAGAGCCGCTTTATCCGCTGTCACCTTGCCTCTGATCACCTTCTGTTTCCGCACAGCAAGCAATTCCAGACTGGTTTAAACCGTGCTTCTTGTCTTGGATTAGTGAAATGGGCGTGATACACCTAAATCTCTTCCAAGAGAGCAGAAGTAGGTAAAAGTAAGACTTGGCTGGCACGGTCCTGCCGGTTCTTCCTACCCTCAGTCGGAACTCGTCTCTCCCCGACCCCCTTCCTCTTTCTCCCTCCTCATTTTTTGTATAAAAGATTATTACATCACCATCTAACGGTACGGCAGCAGTTTCTCATTACTATGTATGAGAAATCTTCATTGTAGCATATGATCTTTAACGTATTGTAAATTAACACTTCATTAAAAATAAATCGAGAACGTTTTGATAGACGAAGAATACTTAGACCCAGTGTTTACTTTGGGTTTCTTGGAGAGCAGTTACTACTGCACCTAAGTGGTAATTTCTTTTGTCATTGGAATCTTGGTGTTTTCTTCCTTGAGTATTTTTTTAAGGGGGAGGATGATGTATTTAACACGGAGAAAGTGTAATTATTTTATCTTCTAGAATTGTTTTTCAGTGTGACATAATTTAGATTTACATGAAGTTGTAAGGAATACTATAGTGCGATCCCAGGGCCCTTTATTTTTTTCCTCTGAATGGTAACCTTTTACAAACTGTAATAGTATATCAGAACCAGGATGATGACATTGATAAAAACTCATAGATCTTACTTAGGTTTCCCCAGTTATGTGTGTGTGTGTGTGTGTGTGTGTGTGTGTGTGTGTTTGAGCCTATACAGTTTTACTCGTGTGTGTCTGTCACCACCATAATCAAGATGCAGGGCACTTGCATCATTACGAGGATCCTCTTTTATAGCCACGCTCACCCTGCTGCTGTCCCTAACAGCAATCACTAGTCCTTTAGAAATGATCTGTTTCTTAAAATCTGTTGTCATTTTAGAGTTGATATTTTTCTGTAGTTGTTTCATGTAAATTGTTTTTATTCTCTGCTGTGTGTGTATGTATATGTGTATGCACTTACAATACCTCTCACAGTACCCAGAACAATACTTCACACATGGTGTTTCATATACACGTACTTAATTTTATTGGGGCATTTTACATTTTTGAAAATTTACTTTTTAAAAGTTTTTAATTTCTTTGAGTCCTACTCAGTTCCCTTTGTGAATGGATACTTGTTATGTGCAAAGATTTACTTTCTGGACTATATATATTCTTTTGAAGTGGGAAAATAATTGATGTTATTTTAGAAATTTAATATTGAAATATATATAAAATGTAAGGTGCCTTTTAGTAGAGTACAGTGCAGGCTGTGGAATTCCTTCCTTCCTTCCTTGAGACAGAGTCTGCTGTGTTGCTCAGCCTGGCCGCCTTGGGCTCAAGGGAGCCCCAGCCCTGATCCCCCAGATAGCTGGGACTTACACACAGGCTCCACTGCGCTCTGCTTGCATTATGGAATTTAATCCAGCCAGCAGGCTAAGTGATCACCAAAGTTGTAAGGAGTTTAGATTTGACTTTCCATACTTATAGTCTGGCTTACAAAAAAATGGGATACAAAGGAATATAACAGTGTTTTATTTATTTATTCATTCATTCATTCATTTATTTTTGGTATTGGGACTCAAACTCAGAACCTTGAGCCTGCCAGGCAGGTGCAATGTCACTGAGCTAAATCCCCGGCCCTGTGTTTTGAAATTATCTACCGTTGGCTCTTATTTTGACACACTAAGTCTGTTTTCTTTTCCCAAGAAACTTATTTTGAACATATTTCATGTTAAATTTGATTTAAGCATCCCTTTAGTTGCTTTAGAGACTGATCATGCATATCCCAGTATATTTATTTAATTAAATAATAACCTGTAAGCATTGTTATGAGGACTTTTCTTTCTTAGTCACTGAATTTAACCATTCAAATGATTTACTCTTAAAAAAATGACCACAGATTTAGAAATGCTTTTGAATGAGCCACAATATGTGTTTATCAATTATATATTATGTTACTTTATTCGGGTGAGTGCTTTCATTTTGGTAGTGACTTTACTACTGACTTTGACATATTGTCTATATATTTGGGAAGATTTTGCTATGTTATCTTCTTTTCCCCCCAGTATACTGTTAGTAACCATGTAGTATGGATCCAGGGTAATATGGAAAACATTTTCCATATAGGCATCCTGGTCAAACAGTAATTCTTTTGCTAAGTATTTTGAATCATTGTAAGTGAAAGGAATATTAAAGGTGAAGATCATCAGTGGATTTTTTGTATTTTAAATCTCATGGTTCTCCTATTTTTGAGGTGCTAATGACAGAAGTTGGCTTGCTTAATGTATCTAAAGTAGAAATGTTGCAAGATGTCTTGAGAATATTTAAAGAATAAGCTTTTTTTCTAATAAAAATTGTTTCTAGGGAGAAGTGTGTACAAAGTGTCTATTACCTGGAGATTTTTTCTCATTTAGATTTTATTCCTTCTGAATCAAAAGAACACATGAAAACATTAAAAAGTTTAATGTTTGTTATAAAATCTCTTTATGTACCCTAAAATCCTGTATGTTTGAACCATTACATCTTGCAGCTATTTAAAAATGAATTTTGATACTTCCTCCAAATAATCAGTAACACATGACTAATAGTAAAAATAAACATTGTTAGTCTTACCAATTGTAAAATTTCGGCAGTTGGAGGTAGTTGGTGAGTTATAAAATATAAGAAACATGTTTGTGGCATATTGAATACAAGGTCATAATAAAAGCTCTAATAAAATTATTTTACAGCTGGTTAGCTACATAAAATAAACTTCTGAATCATCTATTTATGTAAGTAGAAGTAAAGTTCCATTATATTTTATATACAACCTAGAGTAAAACATGACAAGTCCATACTTACGTCCATTTTCCAAAGAGTAAGAATAAAGAAGTTTACATAACACTTTAAATAGACATCTATGTTGAGCTATTTTGCTGATTGAGGCCATTTAGTGGGTTCAGGATTCAAGAAAATAAGTAATATATGGTACATGATTTTAAATTATATGTGTGGGAAACCAGGTGAAAATCTTCAGATTATTTAGGACCTCAATATTCTATGAGAAGGTAAAGCTCTTATTAGCATTCATAATGTACTTAAAACAGTACGTGCATGCACTATCATTCTTTTACAAAAACCTGTGGTTCTAAAGAATTTTGAAACAGGAAGGACAATTAACAATCATACTACTTAAATTTGATGTATTTTGTTAATTTAAAGATTTTACCACTTTGGGAGGCTGAGGCAGGAGGAACACAAGTCAAGCCTAGCCTGGGCCGTTTAATGACATTGAGTGCAACTCTCTCTCAAAAAATAAGCAGGGCTGAAGATGAAGCTCATTGTGAAGGCCCAGGGTTTAATCCCTGGTACCACATACACAAACCCACATGAGCTGAAAGTTGGGAATATAAAAGATAATGAGCTTGAGACACTTAAAAATATAGGGATGGAGAAATTTGTTACGTATGGTTAAGTGGAAAATATGCCAGGAAGTTATAAAAGTTCTGAATTTATATGTACCTAATAATATTCAGGACATATTAAGACATATTTGTCCTGAAATCAGAAGATTATTCAAAGTTTTATTCTGTGCTCCAAACCATTGTTCTTACATGAACATTTATATGTTTTATTATCAAAGGATTGGGACATTGCAGAAAATAATAGAGCAAAGGCAACAGTCTCAGTGTTTTCTTAGAAAAAAACTGGACAATTTAAAAATAACCTATAGGGCCGGGGATTTAGCTTGGTGGTTCTGGCGCCTGCCTCGCCAGCGCAAGGACCCGAGTTCAATCTCTGGTACCCCAAAAAAAAATTAAAATAACCTATAGATGAACCTATAAGAGAATGGAACTTAGAAATGGCAAGTGTTGGGAGGTTAAAAATGTAATGTTATAGGTTTTTTTTTAATGTTTGAATAATTAAATATTCTATAATTCCACTTTACCTTTGTATGTTGTTTCGGGTCTTTGCTTTTCTACTTGGAAATTTTCTTATTTTTCTTTTTCTAATTAATTTCTACTCATTCTTTTTGGCTGTTTACATGTTGATTCGTCAGGGAAGACACAGTTAAATGTCTTAATTTATGCTACCCTGGCTCTTAGTATTTCTCTTTTATAGTACTTATGGCACTTACCAGTTATTTAAGTTCCATTTTCCCCGCTAACCATAAATTCCATGCCTACCATAATTCTTAGCAGACAGTAAGTGTTCAAAATATTTAAATAGAATGAAGGAAGGAATAATTATTTTTCTAAGCTCTTATTTTCCTTGCTTGGTGTGGACAGAACTTTAGGGATTTTGTTGAGTAGTTCTGACCCTAAGAGAAATCCATTGCTACGTTCTGGGAAATACCATGGTCTTGCCTTGTAGGTGAGATACCAGTGTGAATACCAGTCAGACTTCCTGAATTTTCCAAGAAAAGCACTGTTTTTTTCCATGTATCCCATGCATTCTGTTACACAAATGACTCAACATCAATTTATCGAGATTCTTTTAAAAGTTTAGTTTAAAACAAGTGATGTTTGTGACTGTGTCCCCAAAGGAAATGAACTCTATCCACTTTTATAAATATTCTAAATCCTGTATCTTTATCATTAGAATTATTATCATTTTAATTATACAGAGACCAGATTATACAATTTTTTCCATGGAAATGTCTTTATCCACATAGTTTTTATTTTTTTAATTAATTTTATTGGTGCAATTTAAATATACACAACAATCACTTTTGTC